ACGTGAGACGTTCATTGAGAATTATAGCGCGACTGTTGAAATTAAGTGTATCGCATAGTTATATTCAGAAAGAATAAACCAGTTTTATTTAAGAAAGGACTTGTGTCGCTAAAGTTTCGTCGGAACGAATTTACGGAAAATTAACGAACGACCTGAGGCGTAACAATACTAAAACACTAACCTGACATTAAAATCGGTCTTTGATCGTTATTTCCACAAATATTCCTAATCTTATGCAAATCTTTCACACACATTCATATTTGTTCACTTTTTGTTTGTTTTTCTGTTCATCTAAATAATCTGTCAATTCATGTGAATTGATTTAAATACAAAAATATGTTTTACTATTAAAACTTTTGTGCTTGAGAATGATCGCACTAGTGATCAAAACTTCCAACTTCTTTTAAAAAAAATATTATTCTTTACCTTGAATGCTGTAACTTGTAATGAAAAACTGGTCTAATAAAACACAAAATTTAGTGACTAAAGCTAAACTGCAGCAGTAAACAATTCCTCACTTCCTGATACCTCCACGTTTCGCTATAGCTGAAAGATTGTTCGAATCCAGAAGTATATCTACTTCACCATGGGAAAGCGGTAAAATAGCTTCAGGACAACGTTGGACAGAGTGGAACTATCCCATCAAAGAACAGATAGCGTCTTTGTTAAAAGTATAGTTTAATATATTAAAGATATATATTATAAAAGTGGGACACATGGTACCTTCATACCACAATCTCCTTCTTTTTTATCTTAGTCTTGCCCTCAAGCCAAATTTCAACTGAGACTTGATTCCTCTACCTTCATTGTAAAAGCAATATCCAATTGAAACGAGGAGATACGACAACTACCTTTCTGTTAATTCGACCTTGTGTAATCTGTTACTAACTCATCAACTAACCACTGTGTGTTCTTTGACACCAACGACAACTGCCTTTCTGTTAATCCAACCTTTTGTAGACTGTTATAAGAACCACATGTTTTTTGTTTTTTTTACCAATTTCTTGTTGTAATCGTTTTTTTAGAAACGTCATGTTTAGGTAGAAAATGTTTAACGATTAAACTCAAAAAGTGCGGAATTCATCTGAGGATAAAAACACACACTTCAAAACTTCCACTAGGTTTTATGCTCGAGTAGATCATCATGATCGGTGTGAAGAATGCGATAAGAAAGTATCCGCCTCCTTATAATATAAATATCTTGAAAATAGTAAAATACTAATACTTGTTGTGTAAGATGAATGGGAACTAGCTTTAGGCACTTTCAAACAGACACGTTTCTGCTTCCAAGGAGTCAACAGTTGATGGAACAAGATTTGTCTACCTGACTGACTTTACTCTTAATTCCATCACTAAATGAATTTTATTTTATTTTTTAAAACGCAATTTTCCTTCCTTCATCTACAACTTGTCTTTTATTTACAGCGACCATTGTTTCCTTCTTCATTAAACGTAAACAGCTTCTTCCATTTAAACTCAAATGATCCTACCATTCTTCATATTTATATTTTGCTTGTCTTTACGCACAGGGGCCGAGCATGGCCTAGTGGTTAGCGTGCCCAGACTTTGAATCAGAAAAACTGAGCACCACATATTAAGGCCGTGGCTGCTTTATGAAAGTGTCACTCAAATACCACTATTCGATCAAACAAGAATTTACGGTTGATGTTATTGGCTAGTTGCCTTTCCTCGAGTCTATTAGTACAATGTTATGGACGGATAGTCTTTTGCGTCAAAATTCTAAAACAAACAAACTTCACACCAGTGTTGTCTCTTCTTCAGCCAGTCATATCGCCACACAGTTGTCCTCCTACACTAGGAACTCAAACCTTCGGTTACTAGAGTGATCAACACACTTTAGGTTTCAGTTATTCTGAGTCTCGATCAACATATATTGGCGCCAGTGACTGACATCTAGTTATCAAGGAAGTAGTTGTTCGTTTTAGTCTTTATTTACTCTAATTTGATTTATCTTTTCTGCTATGTTGCTTAGGAGACGCCCCTGTTCTCCATCAAAAACCATTAGCAAAAAAAAATTGTACCAATTTAGGGGGTCACAAGTCTCCCCCGCCGTGTTCCTTGACACTAATTCCTTGACACTAACGACAACTACCTTTCTGTTAATCCGACCTTGTGTAATCTGTTACTAACTCATCAACTAACCACTGTTGTATGAGTATGTAAAAAAATGTCAAGTATGTAATCATGGTTAGTCAGCAAGACCAATAAGTAACAACAGCGATAGTGAATGATCATCTCAAGGAAATTTTACTGTCATAGAATACTTCTTTGAAAGTCATCTTGCATTAGATTGTATTAATTGAGAGGGAACACGTATACTACTAGAAAAACTTTGCCGGGCAGTAGCTGTAGGCCGAGTGAGAGCAAGCTATATTCAACAAATGTCAATTCGTGACCAATTCCTTGGAGAGTGATCAAGATTAAACTATCTCTATCCACACACAAAACGGAATAGAAACTGTCAAGTGGTGGTTAACAATGGCTCTAAGGGTGCAAACTGTGGACAGTGAATCCTGTATGTGAAGGGGGTCGGATTGGGACACCGGCAATTGAAACGTAGAATTTTCAGAGATGTTACTAATAATATATATTTATGATTAACTTGGAAACAGATACTAAATTTTTACAAGTATTACATAGTCATTCTCTACAAACATCTTTCCGGTTTGTTAACTTTGTCATGTCTGACAGTTTTATTACAATTATCTGCTCGCACACTTGATGGACAACTAGCTTCTAATGAGAACTTTCAGTGTTTCGTGCTGCCACCTATATTTCATTAACAGAAATACTTTGAAATGTGTTATTTGAGATCATTTTTCCTTAGATGACGCACTCTTGATACTTGATCATAGCTTCCCACTAATTATGTGTTTTATTGCGAAGAAGAAAGTTATCCTCCAAAATTCTGAGAAAGTTATTTAATTGAAATTCCTATACATATTAAGTGTTATGTACATTTAAGGCCGGATTATGACCATAGTGGGCCCAGAGGGTACTTCAGTTCTGTGGGCCTTACCATAGTAGGCCCAGAGGGTACTTCAGTTCTGTGGGCCTTACCATAGTAGGCCCAGAGGGTACTTCAGTTCTGTGGGCCTCAATTTATCCACACCCATTCTCTTTTGTGGTGTTAATATTTTACCCATCAAAACAACTTTTTCATAAATATAATACTCATGAATTTCTAGTTTCTAACTCATCAACTAACCACTGTGGGCCAGTTTTGTTTTATATAAGCAAACAAATGAAGTGATATATGCATATGTGTGCGTGTTTTGATAGGGTCCCAAATAACCTGACCAGTTTGGGTATAATTTATAGTATATGGTATGTTTCAAACTCTGAAGTTTTAGTTGTATTTTGACAATTACAGTTTTTTTAATATTACTTTAGTTCTTATGCAAGTTATTAGCTCTAAATTATCCAAAGTCAAGTCAATTCCTGCTCTATGGTCCTGAAAAAATGGAGATTAAACACCATCTGAAACATGGTATTATCTTGTTTGATAACTTTATTTTATA